TCAAGCTATAAGAGTAACACCTCATATGCCTCCGACGTACACATTTTACACAATCAAGGATGGAGAAAAAAAAAAAAAAGATGAGAACATTGGCCGGGCGTGGTGGCTCACACCTGTAATCTCTGCACTCTGGGGGGCCAAGGCAGGCAGATGCTCAGGTCAGGAGTTTGAACCAACTTGGGCAACGAGGCAGGACCCCATCTCTACTAAAATAGAAAAAAATTAATTGTCAACTAAACATATAATAGGAGAAAAATTAGCTGGGTATGATGGTGCATGCCTGTAGGTCCCAGCTACTCGGGAGGCTTGAAGCAGGAGGATCGCCTGCAGCCAGGATTTGTGTTGCTGGTGAGCTAGGCTGACGCCATGCCTCTAGCCCAGGGCAACAGAGGGGTTGAGACCTGTCTCAAAAAAAAAAAAAAAAAACGATGAGAAATATTATATTTTATTTGCATTCTTCTTATCCTCTGAAATACTATCTTCTTATGGGCATATGGCTTAAAATGAAAATCTTTTTCTTTCTTTTTTTTAAAATTGAGACAGGGTCTCACTCTGTCACCCAAGCTAGAGTGTAATGGCACGATCATAGCTCACAGCAACCTCAAACTCCTGGGCTCACGCAATCCACCTGCCTCAGCCTCCTAAGTAGCTGGGACTACAGGTGTACACCACCATGCCTGGCTAATTTTTCTATATTTTGTAGAGATGGGGTTCCACTGTTGTTCAGGCTGGTTTCAATCTCCTGTCCTCAAGCAATCCTCCCTCCTCAGCCTCCCAAAGTGCTAGGATTACAGGCGTGAGCCACTGCACCAGGCCAATGAAAATCTTTTGAAAACTAAAAAGTGCTATAAAGGTAAAGGGATTACTTATTAACAGAAAAAAAAATTAATTGCCATGTTATTTTTTTCATGAAAAGGAAATACAAAACCTCCAGTCCCAGAATGGTCTTTGTGTCTATGATATATCAATATATTTAGATCCAGTATTTTATATTGCTATTATTTTCACCAGGAAACAACTTGGTAGTCTGAAATAGAGAGTAGTCTGAAATAGAGAGCCTGAGTCTTGGCTTTTAGTTGCCCTTCATATTCCTAGTTTACTCAAAGGATGCCACAAATTCTCAAGCTTTTATTTAATTCCTTTTGATTAACAAAGAAAATGGGCCAGGCATGGTAGCTCAGGCCTGTAATCCCAGCACTTTGGGAGGCTGAGGCAGGAGGATCCCTTCAGCCCAGGAGTTCAAGGCTTCAGTAAGCTATGATTGTGCCACTATGCTCCAGCCTCAGTGACAGTGAGACCTCACCTCAAAAAATAAAATAAAATAAAATTTAAAAAATAAATACCTTGACTTTGTGTAGAGATGAATAAAAAAAATAAATAAATAAATAAATAAATATGAATGCTCTCATAATTCTCTTATGAGGGGAGAGGTATGCACTATATATAATGGGCATTCACAGAACAAATACTTCAATTCCAAAAATAATGAGAATCATTAGTTTAACCCTGTAATTTAACATGTTAGAAAATAACATTCATTTACCTATTCAACCTTTATTGCATCACTACTATGTACTATTACTATTTTAAGGGATTAAGGATGTGACAGTAAACAACATAAAGTTCTTGCCCTCATGACACTTATACCATAGGCTTGGAAGGATTCTCATACCTTTCTCTTTCTAACTGCAAAAGAGTCTTTATTAACTTTTTAAATTTTTATATCCATTCATCATTTTCATTTCAAATAAACCTTTTATCATAATAAAGGGCAGTATTTGTTCCATCCACAAAAGAATATATAATTTTTCTGCTTTCCCAAGGCTTCTTTACATTAATGATTTCTTGGATCTCATTCTCTATTATAATATGTCTGGAGCTAAATGATTATAACATGGTATAGAATATAGTATAATAGAGGTGTGTATAAAGTGTCATGGAAATAAATAGATGTAAGAACAATTAACTCTGCTTAAGCAGAGTAAAATATCTGGGGAAAGATAGAAAATAGAGCCGACATTTTACTAGTGGATGAAAAAAGAGGGCATTGACCAGGATAACACAAGAGAAGGATATTCTAGGCATTATAGAAGAATTATGTAGTTAATCATGATTTTCCTAGAAGAAATAAATATTTAAAAAAAGAATTATGAAGGAAGTTAAAAGAGAATATAACTATAAGGCATATTCATAAAATGGAATAAATCTGACATTCTAGAGAATGTGGAGAAATGAGTGGGTAATAGTAAATCAATAGAAAAGGTCAGCTGAATAGGTTTGGGCTGTGGCAGGACTGTTATGTCATATTGAAGAGTTTCTCGAAATGTTCTGATTGGTTGCAAATAGCTGCAAACATCAAGCATTGCTTTCTTAACAGTTGTACAGATTAGTAGCGTGGTTTGTTGGAAAGAGTGTTTGCCAGACATGAGTTCTTAATCTGGCTCTGCAGTATGTTAGCTGTATGACCTTGAGGAAGATAACCAATCTGAGCCTTGATTTCCCTATTTGTAAAATAAGACTACCTTTCAGCATTGTGAGGATTACATGAAAAGAGATGATAAAAACAATTAGTGAAATGAAAAGAAATGAAAGCCACTAGAATAAATTATAAATTATCACAGCACAGTGAGAATCTTATAAGTAGATAAAGAAAATGTGGTATATACATACCATGGACTACTACTCAGCCTTGAAAATGAATTAAATAATGTTTTTTGCAGCAACTTGGTTGGAACTGGAGGCCATTAACTTAAGTGAAATAATGCAGGAACAAAAAGCCAAATACCTCATGTTCTCACTTATAAGTGGGAGCTAAGCAATGGGTACACATGGTCATACACATTGACATAATGGACATTGGAGACTCAGAAAGGGAGGGTGAGAAGGGGTGCAGGATGAAAAATGACTTATTGGAGAAACTTATGAGAAGAAATAGAACTATCCAATAAGTGAAGAAACTTACCAGAAGAGAAAGTAAAGCAATGGCTCCAACATCACTGATAACCCCTTCAGGTATCACTCTAGGAATATGATGGTCTTTTAAGGAAAAAACTAACAAGGTCTTGCTCATCAGGAACCAATGGAAGGACCCTACTCTCATATAGAGCCATCATTGTGATGGCCTTGAATAATTTTTTAAATGTATAATTTGAAGAAAAAATTTATACAATGCTTCTTATTAAAATATTTAAAGTTTAAATATTTTTTAAATTTTAATAGATTTAGCAGGTACAAATGGATTTTTGTTACATGGATGAATTGTATAGTGGAGAAGTCTAGCCTGTTAGTGTACCTGTCACCTGAGTAGTGTACAATGTACCCAGTAGGTAATTTTTCGTCTTGTACCCTCTTCTACCCTTCCCCTTCTGAGTCTCCAATGTCAATTATGTCACTTTGTATGACCATGCATACCCATTGCTTAGGTCCCACTTATATCCAAACATGCAGTGTTTGGGTTTTTTTGTTCCTGGGTTATTTCACTCAGGATAATGGCCTCCAGTTCCATCCAAGTTGCTGCAAAAGACATTATTTAATTCCTTTTCATGGCTGAGTAGTATTCCATGTTGTGTATTACCACATTTTCTTTATCCACTTATCTCAATCAATGAGCACTTGGGTTGCTCCATATCTTTGCAATTGTGAATTGCACTGCGATAAAAATATGAGTGCAGGTGTCCTTTTTATAAAATGACTTCTTTTCCTTTGGGTAAATCCCCAGTAATGAGATTTTTGCTGGATTGAATGGTAGACCTACTTTTAGTTCTTTGGGAAATCTCCATACTGTTTTCCATAGAGGTTGTATTTACATTCCCACCATCAGTGTATAAGCATTCTCTTTTTACTGCATCCTTGCCAACAGCTATTATTTTTTTACTTTTTAATAATGGCCATTCTCATGGGGTAAAAGGGTATCTCATTATGGTTTTGATTTGCATTTCCTTGATGATTAGTGATATTGAGCATTTTTTCATGTTTTTTGGCTATTTTTTCCTCCTCTTTTGAAAAGTATCTGTTCATGTCTTTTGGTCACTTTTTAATAGAGTGGTTTTTTTCTTGATTTGTTTGAGTTCCTTACAGATTCTGGATATGAGTCCTTTGTCAGATATATAGCTTGTGAATATTTTCTCCCATTCCGTAGGTTGTTTATTGTTGATTATTTCTCTTGCTGTGTGAAAGCTTTTTAGTTTAAGTCCCATTTATTTATTTCTGCTTTTATGGCATTTGCCTTTGGGATCTTAGTCATAAATTCTTTATTCTAGGCCAATTTCAAGGGTAGTTTTAAGCCTTTAATTAATCTTGAGTTAATTTTTATGTATGGTGAGAGAGAAGGATGCAGTTGCATTCTTCTGCATGAGTTTATCTAATTTTCCCAGCACCACTTATTGAGTAGGGTGTCCTTTCTCCAGTGTATGTTTTTGTCTGCTTTGTCAAAGATCAGTTGATTGTAGGTGTATGATTTTATTTCCAGGTTTTTCTATTTTTGTTCCATTGTTCTATGTGTCTACTTTTTACCAATACCATGCTCTTTTGGTTACTATCACCTTGTGGTATAATTTGAAATTGGATAATGTGATACCTCCAGATTATTCTTTTTGGTTAGGATGGCTTGGGTTATTTGTGGTCTTTCAGTTCCATGTGAATTTTAGGATTGTTTTTTTCTTTTTGTTTTTTCTTAAGTGACTCATGACTGCATTTTTTAAAATTTCAGAATATTATGGGAGTACAAACTCTTTGGTCACGTAAACTGCCTCTGCACCACCTAAGTCAAAACTACAAGCATGCCCATCCATGTTTTTTCTAATTCTTTGGAAAATGACACTGGTATTTTGATAGGAATTGCATCAAACCTAAAAATTTAAATATTTTTACAGTGTAAATAACTAAAGGGTAAATGCTTCTATATAATGTAGGATTAAATTACTTGGATAAGCTCATTTGTAATATTTTGAGTAATTTCACACAAAGATTTTAAAGATATTTTCCTTATCTATATGTTTTAGAGAATGCAGCTGCATGAAGGAAGGCCCAAACAAAAAAGGCATCGTTGCAGAAACCCCAACAAATTAGATGTTAACAGTCTCACTGGAGAAGAACGTGTTCAACTGATTAACAGAAGAAATGCTAGAAAGGTAAATAAATGTTTGTTGTTAATCTTTTATATTGTATCACTATTTAAGAGATCTCTAGAACACTATTTCATGATGTTGTAGTATTTTCTAACAGACCTGGAAATGAGGTTGACTCTAGCAGATTTGTGGGGAAAGAGATGGACTATAATTTTATGCCTTCTAATTTAAAAATCCCACATCATTATCTAAACTATCAAATGAAATAAATCACTTAACATATCTGTACCTAAGCAGTGCCATTGCGTATTGTTGTACATTTACACAACAGCACTCACTACGCCTAAAGCAGTGGTTCTCATCAGAGGTGATTTTGCCCATCAGGGGACATTTGGCAATGTTTAGAAACATTTTTGGTAGCCACATTTTTGGTAGCCCCATTTTGGGTGGGGAGGTGATCAGGGGAGAATGCTGCTGGCATCTAGTAGGGTAGAAGCCAGAGCTGCTGCTGCACTTCCTACAGTAGGACACCCCCCACGCACCAGCACCAACCCATAATGTGCAAAGGCTGAGAAACTCTCATCTCAGGGGATATCATAGCCATCATAAATTTATATATTTATCACTGTATTTTTCCACAAGATGGCCTTAAAGTTTCTCGTCACTTTATGTAATATGTCAAAATTGGTATATTACGTAATTTTGTGATAGATGAAAATAAAATGTCTTAAACAAAGGTACCTTGTAGACTAATGACACTTTTGTGCTTATCTTCTTGTTTTACTGATTGATAAATTTAAGAGTTGAGGTTTTTCTGAAGTGTGTTTCTGAACCAGATATGGCTCAACATTTGTTTCCTAAAATCATTTTACATTTGGATTGTTATCTATCTCTTTTACCTCACCAAGTACATGAAAGAAGACTTGTGACACCATTTTGCAATGTATATTTTTGACACACTGCTATTCTCATGAGCAAGCAATAAAATAAATAAGAAAGAAAAAGTGGCCTCAATACAAACATCACATTTCTCTCTGAATTCTTTTGCTCACAAACTAAATTATTAATACCTTACGTAAGGCCGGACGTGGTGGCTCACGCCTGTAATCCTAGCACTTTGGGAGGCCGAGGCGAGTGGATTGCTCAAGGTCAGGAGTTCGAAACCAGCCTGAGCGAGACCCTGTCTCTACCAAAAATAGAAATAAATTAATTGACCAACTAAAAATATATATACAAAAAATTAGCCGGGCATGGTGGCGCATGCCTGTAGTCCCAGCTACTCGGGAGGCTAAGGCAGTAGGATCGCTGAGCCCCGGAGATTGAGGTTGCTGTGAGCCAGGCTGACACCACGGCACTCACTCTAGCCTGGGCAACAAAGTGAGACTCTGTCTCAAAAAAAAAAATACCTTACATAGATCATGTTAATTCCTTGGTTCTCATTCCTCTCTCATTAGTAGGATAAAAATACATAAAAATATTTGAATTTTTCATAAGATATATTAGAATTAGAAGAAAACTTTTTTTTTTTAAGAGACAGGGTATTTATTGCTCTGTTGCCCACACTGGATTATAGAGGCACGATCGTAGCTCATTGCA